GTACAGATCTGTGTGTGCACGTAAGTTTTATTTCTTTGGGATGAACACCCAGCACGCAGCTTCTGGGCCACATGGTCACCTTCTCTGCGTCCTCGACAGCACTGGGTGCTGTCACTATTTCACAGCTGAGCCGTCCTGCGAGGTGTGTAGTGACACCTCTGGGTGGTTTTCTGTGCACCTCCCTAATGGCTAATGACACTCACGTCTCTTCACGTGCTGACCTCCCGTATCACGTGCTCTCCGTATGTATTTTTTGCTCATTTCCTAATTAGATTTTCCTTTTTTTACTACTGAGTATTAAGGGTTCTTTATATATTCCAGATAAGTCTTTTGTCAGATATGTGGTTTACAAAGATTCTTTCTCAGTCAGTCTGTACCTTGCCTTTTTATTATAGCTCTTACCAGGATCTTTCACAGAGCAAAGGTTGTTTGTTTTTATAAAGTTCAATTTATCAAGTTTTCTTTTTATAGATCATACTTTTGGCATCGCATCTAAGAAACTCTCTGCCTTAGATCTTGAAGATTTTCTTTTATTTTTAAGAAAGTGTTTTATACCCTTACGTTCTACATTTAAGCTTGTAAGTAATACTGAGTTAATTTTCATCTAAAGTGTGAGGTTTAGATCAAGGTTCACTTTTTTGCCTCAGGACGGCCAAGTGCTCCAGCACCATTTATTGAAACGATGACCTTTCTTCCACTGAATTGCTTTTGCATCTTTTTCAAATATCAGTTGACCCAAGGCAAGCAGGAAGAAAACACTACAGACTACAGCATAAAAAAACAGAAAGCATGGGNACAATTACGATCACCCCCAGTTTCCAGGGAAGGGGACGCAGGTCACTCTCCTCCGGCCCCAACACGCTCCTGGCACTCAGCACCCAGACCTCCTTCCCATGCTGTGCGCAGCACCACCACTCGTCCCCCCACGCAGGGACCCACCGAGGGCGGGTGTCACCGTGCGCTCTGACCCTCGCAGTAGGAAAGACCAGTGACCTGTGTCCTTCTCCAAGGCTCACTCCACTCTGGAATTGTGGGGGTTCTGGCCTAGAAGAGAGGGGCGGGGGAAGCTGCCTTTTTCATTACAAATGTTTTCACGCCCAAAGTTAGCTTTTACTGCTTAGGTTCTGTGAGTTACAAGATTCTGTAACCATACTGTGTGCTATTAGGGCGCACGGGGGCTAGCTCATTTCAAATAGGAAAATGGTTTGTGTTCACCCAGTTCTGGAAGCCAATTTTCAATCACTTAAAATAGTCCTGGTATTTTACCAAGGTAATTATACTCTTAACTATCAGTAACAATTAAACCCTTAGACTGGAGCCGCCCAATGTCTCAAAATAAAATTGCACGTTCCATGCACTGCACCGAAATGTCAAGCACACAAGCAGAGGCCTCAGGGGGCCCAACCAGGGCCTGCATGAGCCCGGCCCCCAGCCGCAGCACAGCTCTGAGGAGGCCTGGCAGCCGCCACCCTGGGGCGCCTGGAAGAGGAAGTGCTCCTCAGCCACGAGCAGGCGCTGTGGGCTCACGGGGTCACTAAGGAGCTGGCGGTGGCCGTACGTGTGGCACTGACCGTGACACAGCAGCTCGCCGCCCCTCCACAGCCCAGCCTGATGAAGAGCTTCGCCATCCGGCTGGCAAGATAGGCCCTGAATGCCAGACGGAGGCTGTGCGGGCGACTGGTATTGGTCCATCCCAGCACACCTTCACGCGATAGTCAGTGCCAGGCAGTCAATACCCACTGTCTGCCAAAGTCAGAGCACCGCCCTGAGCACGGCGGGGCGGGCTGAGGGCGGAATCAGGACAGAAAGCCAGCTGCTTCCAACCTGTTGGCCCTGGAAAACAAGAGTGGACATTTCCTGCTGGGGAGCCTGGAGCAGTGGGCCTCACGGACAGAAAACCCTTAAGAAGGAAGCCGGCAACACCTCGCAAATGTGACACAGTCTGGACCAGCTCCAGCTGGGAGGGATTTCTAACCAAGGTGGGGGTCTGAATGTCCATGTCATCCTGAACCGACGTCCTGGTAAAGCGGGTAGGAGTCCCAGCTGGCAGCTGCAGGCCAGTGCCGGCCCACAAGGACGCTGCAGAGAGCAGCACGGCTCAGCCGAAGGACCACAGCCAATGCACCAACGTGCCACGTTTCCTTACCTGTTCCGAGTCACGGGCCCAATTTTCCCACGGTTACTTACTCATCGTGAACACGAGGATGCATCTGAATTCCATAAAATAATTGCTTTTTTGAGCACTACGCTTAAGTAAAACTAAATCTCTGCCACTTCTAAAACAACAACAAAAAAAGAATACTTTGTTTGGTCTACGGGGTGGTTTATAAACAAGAACACTTCACATAAACATCCAAACTGAGGACTTCCCTTAAAAACTCAGAAGAGTCCTACGGGACCACAGCAGTGGAGCCAAGAGGGGCTGCCCCTTCTGGGTGGCACACACCCTTCAAGGCACCCAGGGCCCCTGGGGGAGGCCAGTGCCCGCACCCATGCTGCCGGCCCGGCCCTTGCTGGCAGCTGAGTCTTCCAATCTCGGCCCCCACACCGTTGCCCATCCTGACCACATGTGGCGGCCGTTAATGTGACAGGGGAAAGGGGTTTTGCAGATGAAAAGGAGGTTGCGCGCCTTAAAACAAGGTTATCCTGGGCTGTCTGGGCAGCCGGTGGACCCGCATAGCGGTGTGGAGCAGAGGACTTTCTCCAGCAGAGCCAGGTAGGGGGCAAAAGGAGAAGGTGGAGAGATTTGACGCGTGAGAGGGTCCTGATCCACTGCTGCTGGACAGGCCACATGGAAGGATGAAAAAGAACGCGGGAAGACTCCAGGAGCAAAGACGGCCAGCAAGACAAAGCAGCATTGGATTAAAACCAAAGGGTAAAATAAATACCCGTGAGTCCACTGATATAAATAAATGACTGAATAAATAAATGGGGGGAAGAGATAAATCTCCTGTTAGAAGAATGCCAAGCAGTAGATGCAGACACTCCCTAGGGTGGGCCTGCAGGTGACTGTCCTCCCAAGACTGGGCCTGCTCGGCTGGACGGCAGCTCTCTGTCCCGTGCTTGGAGGAGCCTCTATCTGTGCCCTCACTGGTTTTCCCGGAGCCTCATGACACTGTCCGGGTGGGAGCCCATCCGGCTCCTGCACTAAGTGACGTACGCATGGGATGCCACAGTACGCTCAGACGAGTCGCAGGGTCATCCGCTTTGAGCCATTTGTTCTCAGATGGAAAAGCAGAGACCCGGAGAGACCCAGCAACCTTTCTAAGGTCACGCAGAAAGGTCCTCATGCTTGTCACCCTGGGGAAGCTCTGCTTCCCACCTCAGGGACCACAGCACACCGTCCATCCCTCACCCACAGAGCTTCAAGTGCAGACACCCCACTGCCCTAGCCACAGGCAGCCTTGCCCCACCGGACCCATGGCCCTGAGCACCTCCGTCTGACCGGGAGTCCTTACCGAGGGGCACCCTGTGCCCTCTTGAGCCGCCTGGGAGCTGGGCCCCCAGCGACAGGCTGCTGAGCTGAAGTTGCCTCCCCTCTCCTGTCCGCATGTCCGCTCTGACCCTGGCAGCACCGTCAGCACCGTCTCGCCCGCTCTCTAGCCGTGGCTTTCCACCAGCACCTCCCGTAAACAGCGAGCCCGCAGGTCTCAGCTTGACTATCAGCCCCTCCAAACCTCCACGTAATGAGCGCTGTGTGCGCTGCTGTCACGCTGGCAAGCGTGCGTGTATCTGTCTCTCCTGCCTGCCGACCCGCTAGACTGTAAACTCTATCAGGGTGCAACACATCTGCATCACGGCCCCTCGCATCAAGCTGACGCGGCAGATACATAACAAGGTGGGGAGAAGGGAAGAGCGGGGAGTTCCCACAAAGGTAGGTCCGCACGACCCAGCAGAGCTGACCAGGCCGAGGACTGGGCCTCTTCTGTGCCGGGGGCAGCGGGGGACACTCCTGGGGTGTCTGCCATGTGGAGCCACCTGCCAGCGTCTCAGAGGCAGCACCAGAGGCCTGTGTGGACCGGGAGGCCCTGGGCCGCGGCCTGGTGATGCCCAGGCACACATGCGTGAGGTCTTGGTTGACGGAGGAGCCACATGACGGCTGCCTGAGTGGCTGAAACCTGACTCGTTTTCTAAAAGCTCCATCGTCAGGAGGTCCCAGCAGCAAAGAGCCTAAGTTTTCACCCAAAACGATCAAGAGCAGGCGAACACTTGTCAGACAGAATCCTTCTCTGGGGCGGGGGCGGCCCGCAGCCCACTCAGCATCTGCCGGGGCAGGCAGGGGGGCGCTCTGCCCAGCAAGCCGACACCCACCCTTCCCTAGGGGGCACCTGGAGACAGATTTGGGCTTTTTCCTTCGTTGTCGTCTGAAATCTCAGCGTCCAAGGCAGCATTTTAAATAACACCCTCTCACACAAAACCTGAATTCACGCCCCAGCGAACTCTGCTTATCGAGCCCGACATCAGAGCTCTTCAGGCACAGAACAATTAGCAAGACCCAGTCGCGCAGACCAGGCTGGAGCAAGACCGTGTCCGCCCAGCGCGTCTGGACACAGGCGACATCTCCATTCCAAGTCCAGCTGCACACCCGCTGCAGTTTACCTGCACCCCCTCGGTGCTGAAGAAAGAAAAGGCCGCCCCGGAGAAAGACCTGCGGGTGCTGTCTAGGAAGGTACGGCCCTCCGCCCAACAGGCACCCCAGGTTGGAGGCGTCTTTGGTGCAGGTCCGAGCCTTCCCAGCAGTCCATCCAGGAGAACACAGGCCTGACAGCCGCCACGACTGTCCTGGCGAGAAGCGTGCACGCTCATCTGCGCCGTGACTCACTCTGACCAAGAGGTGAGGGCCAGCTGGTGTGCTGGGCAAGTGCGCTTAGTTTGGTGGCAATCTGACAGGCGTGGGGGCCTTGAGAGAGAGGGCTAGGCGTGCACGCAGCAGGGTCGGTCTGGGCGCTGCTGACCTGGAGGGAGAGCACGCCGGCCGGCAGCCCGCCCCAAGCCCATACCTTCGTCAGCAGCAGGACCCGCTTCTGAAGCCTCCGGGCCAGCGCCTCATGCGTCTCGCGCTTCTTCCTCTCCTCCAGCAGCTGGGTGCCAACCTGGCGGACTTCCTCCTGGAGCTGCTGCCTGACCTTGTCCAGCTCCCGGGCACTGCGGAGACAGGCAACAGGACAGAGCGTGAGGCCTGGCCCACAGGACCGCACCCCCACGATGGGCCCACTCAGGTCCCAAAATAGAGCTGCACGTGCAGCCAGCTCGCTGTCATTTCCTCACTTCTGAATAGCTACTCAGAGCCTTTCAGGAGTCTGGGTTTCAAACAGACCCCAGGCCGACGGGAGCTGCAGGCGGCAGGGCGGGCGCACGGCTGGACACACAATGGGGAAGATTGTGGTGATGGTGCCGCTGAATGAGCTCTATTATCAGAGCCCACGCTCCCCCGTCGTCGGGCAGGTGTGCAGCTAGCTGTGGGAGGCGGAACCCCAGCCCCGCCCGTCCTGCCGACACCCTGCAGAGCCAGACCCCAGCCAGCGCTCCGACACCAACCCCGGGCCCACAGGCTCCTCCGAGAGGCCAGGCTCCATGAGGCTGCTCCGGCCGACGCCCAGCCGGCTGACCTTCCAGTGGAGTCTGCTCTCAAGCATCCTGCCTCTACGCTCGCGGCAGCCCCTCGATTCATTCACCGGCGTTAGCACATAGCCTCTGCTCGAGCCGTCCCTCCAGACCCCAGGTGAGGAGGGACACTTGATTTAGAGGCTTCAGCGCTCCTGCATCCACAGGCTAACCCCCAACCTCTGGGCGGGGCAGTGAAGTCAGGGCTTGGTCACTGACTCTCGCCCGAAATGCCATCGGCCCTTCGCAGCCCGGTCGTCCCAGGTCGTCCTCGGCGCCTGCTGGTTCCTACAATCTCCAGAGTCAGCCCAGAGCCACGGCGAACGGCAGCCAGCATGCAATTCTAATGGGGAGAACCAAGGACCCCCCCGACTCTCCGTGCCCACAATTCTGCCTCAGAACACGGGCACGCCGACCAGGAGAGCTCCCAGGAGGGATCTCGTAGACGGGGCAAGTGGAAAGCCATCCTGGGAGACGAGTGCCCTGCAGAGTGCGTGGGGCAGGGCGGCTCCGAGTGTGGGCAGAAAACACAGTGATCACACTATTTTTTTAAGTAGAGAAAACCTCTTCCCAAAGGAAATCTTTAAAAACTCAAAAAAAAAAACCAAAACAAAACCAAAAACAGAACCACAGTATTATTAGGACGGCGTTATAAGGTGATTTTGTAACGTTTACCCAAGGTGATGACCCATGAGAACAGTGACACTAATTGAACGTGCAGAAGTATGAGATGAGGGCTATGGATGACACCTGCAGTCTCGTGTCACACTCGGCATCCAATTATTCTTTTTTGCTTTGATTACACAATTTCAAGAGAAGTTTAATTCACAGGGATGGCAGGTAATGCTTTCTTTGGAGGTGGTCTCCACCGAGCTAATTTTTTCCATTTCATATCTGAGTATGAGGGGTTTTTTTATTATGACTGAGTATAATTCTTTAAATAGCTGAGTATAATTTGAAACTAAATGGGAATTACACATGTACAGAACTTTAAAAGCGACTGGGTGGAGAACGCCAGGTCTGGGCCACCCCAGCCGGTCCCACGGGAACAGAACCGACACTGTCACCTCCAGGGCCTGGCTGCTTTGTTTCAATCTTGGAAAGACGGCAGCCATCTTGGAAAGTCTCACATTAATATCAATCCAATGGTACAGCTGGCCAACCGCACCTGCCACCTCTAGGTACTTCGTAACCAAAACATAAAGTCAAATACTCATTTGAAACGGACATATTAAGAGGCTATCTGGAGTTGTAGTTCAATTCAAAACCATTCATAGGCCAATTTAATAACCAGGGACTGTGAAACAGAGCGTGGGGCCAGTGTGTTCAGGTGGGAGGTCCATGCGCGCTTTAAATCACTGCTCACTCGACACCTGAATGACCCCCCACACACACTCATGCACGCAGAGGCCAGGCGGTGGCCAGTGCTCCTTCGGATGGCGGCACAGCATCAGTCCTGGTTGGGCTCGGGGGTGAGGGCTGCTCTCAGCACAGGATGCTGGGTGGGGACAACCTTGGGGAGACTGACAAACCCGAGGCTCCACAGTCTGGGGAGCATGGTATCCCCATATCCACGTGGGATCACAGTGGAGACCTCCCCACCAGAGCAGGTACAAGCACACATGGTCACGGGTAACTGTGTCCACCTGTGATGAGCCGGACAGACCAAAGTCCTGGTGCCTGGGGCCAAGTCGGGGCAGGACGCTTGCACCCTCGTCTGCTGACGGCCAGTCCCTGCAGGCCCGGAAACAGGGGGGCTTCACCCCTCAGGGAGGGGGAGCCAGGTACCCGAGCGCCCAGCCCAGCCCTACGACGTCTTAAGAACAAACGTGTTCACTGCCGGGCGCACCACCGGTCACAGTCCAGTGGCGTCACAGGAAGAGGACTGACCGAGCCTGTCAGGACTCCAGGGCTGGGCCCAGCTGGGCAAGCGCCTGTGCCGGCTGGGAAGAAAACATGCCTCCCCAAAGGCACAGCGCTTTCCATGCAGTCTGGACGGCAGGAGCAGAGCCGGAGGACACGGGACCGAGGACCCGGGACCCTGGAGACGCTGGACACCAACAGGGCCAGCACGGGGAGGGCGGCCCCTGTTGCAGCCCCAGCCCGGCGTCACCTGCATTCCCAAGGCCTGCCACACAGCCTGATGTCATCAGCACTCTCTTTTTTAATAGGTGAAACGAGACTGAAAACTCCAACCTGAGC